ACAAGACCCTTGCACCCCTAACCCTTTAGAAAAAAAACTTGACAGCTTTAAGACTTGTGGACTTCAACTCCCAGAATTCCTCCTCTCGCTCGTCATTTTGATGATGTGTGGACGGGCGGGGGGAGGGAGCTGGAACCGGTTCTAAATGGCACAGTAGATTTGTGGAACCTCTTCTATAGAAGAGGTTAGAACTGGCAGGAACCTACCCCTGATTCATATCCATCTTTTGCAGTTGCCAGGAGTCCTCAGGACCCACTTTAAAAAAAATGAAAGTGCAGGGGATGTTAGGGGACAAAATGGAAGCCCTTGAAGCAGAAGTCCCCAAATATCTTTGTTTCACAGAACCCTACAGTTTCCAAACTACAATAGTGCTCGATTTACAACCACAATTAAGCCCCAAATTTAGGTTGCTAAGTGAGAAATTCGTTAAGTGAGTTTTCTTGCCACATTTGTTAAGTGAATCACTGCAGTTGTAACATGGTTGTTAAGTGAATCTGGTTTTCCCTTTCATTTTGCTTGTCACAAGGTCCAAAAGTAGATCACAGGAATCTAAGACACTGCAACCATCATAAATGTGAGTCAGTTGTCAAGCATCCGAATGTAAATCATGTGACCGTGGGAATGCCGCAATGGTCTTAAGTGTGAAAAATGGTCATGTCACTTTTTTCAGTGCTGTTGTAATTTTTAAATGGTCACTAAGTGAACTGTTGTACGTTAAGGACTACATGTATGTACCACAGCCCCATGGAGTGCCACAATGAACTCACAAAGCTGCTGCAGGATATTTTATTACAGGTATTCCTTATAATCGAATCGACCCATTACTTGCCATATGTCATAATGCTCGTAAAACAGGAAAGTCACATGACTGAGCTGATTTTGCAACCTTTTTTGAGGTGGTCATGAAGGGAACACCACAGTCATTAAGTGAATGCTACGGTTGTTAAGCAAACCAATGGTTTGCTGTGGGCACAGTTTTGCCAAAACCTCAGAAAAGCTGGTTTTTGACAAAACCCTTGTAAAATGTGGTCACATGACTGCGGGATATTGCAAACAGCCATAAATGTGGCTTTATTGCTGAGCATCTGAAGTTCAGTCACAGGATGATGGAGGAGACCTGACTGTTGGAACTTTGAATCCAAGTTGTATGTCCCCTTTTTTTCTGGTCAGTCGAAACTTTGAGCATTCATTATGGAACGGAATCCACACTGTACACAATTGAACAGGTCCAGAGGTATTTCACGAGAAGAGTCCTCCACTCCTCTGCTCACAATAGAATCCCTCATGCCACCAGACCCGAAATTTTGGGCTTGGACAACCTGGAACTACGGCGCTTACGGTCTGACCTAAGCATAGTACACAAAATTGTCGGCTACAATGTCCTACCTATCAACGGCTATTTCAGCTTCAACTTCAATAATACATGGGCAAACAATAAATACAAAGTCAAGGTAAACCACTCCAAACTCGACTGCAGAAAATACGACTTCAGCAACAGAGTGGTCAATGCCTGGAATGCTCCACCTGACTCCTGTTGTTACATCCTCAAACCCCCACAGCTTCAACCTTAAACTGTCTACCGTGGCCCTCACCCCATTCCTAAGAGGTCCGTAAAGGGGGCATGCATAAGTGCACCAGCCCTTCCTACTCTTCTACTGTCCCCAACTATTTCTACTCATTTCCTTGTTCACATCCATGTTTATACTTATACCTGTTATCGTGCACATGTTCGAGAAACTAAAATAAAAATAAATTACACAACCAGTTGCAAGTTAAAGACTACCTGTACTTCATACAGTACAAATGCAATGCTAGCTGATATTAAATATCCTGTGTGGTGCAAGTGTAAATTCCCACGGTGCACTGGGGCGTTGAGGTACAGAGTTTGGGAATGGGGAGGGGGCTTAAAGGTTTAAGGAAGGCACCTTTTCTACATCTTTAAAACTTCCCCCTCCCTCAGAAAAATCTATTTTGGATTTTGATTATTCCACCTTTGGGGTGCAGCTCTTAAAGCCTACAAAAATATAAGTGTACCTCACTGAGCTTATCATTCTCCTTTGGTAAATGATATGTATCTCACACACCCCATCCCCATTTAGGCTACCTCCTGTAACTCTGCTTCTATTACCAACCTCCAGGTAGGGAAACTTCATCTTATTCACTCTAAAATGCCTTCCAGCTCTGGGACACTTCTGAACCGAGAAAACAGTTAACCTACACTGCATCTGAATGGAAACAACCAGGCTCACTGATATGGTTGAAAAAGGTTGGCCTTTTGAAGTTCCAACAATTGGCTGCATTAAAGGTGATTAAAAGTCTTTATATCATGTTTCAACACTCCAGGCAGACAGCCAGGGAAAATCCTCCTAGATGAAAAGGAAAGTGGAACAGTAATAGTTACAATTCCAGGTATAATTATAATGATAATGCCAACCAATAATTATCATTCCCTTAGCCGAGCTTTCCTCATGAAAAACAGGGGTGCTTAATACTACTATTTTCTTTCCAAAATTATTATTTGCATTTTTGAGGTGGAAGTGTTTATAAAAATGCTTGTCCCCCTGATGGAGAATTAGCCCTGAAGCTAAGCAAGGTTTCCTGGCCTTGAGTGGAAGATTTCCAGAGATTACCACGGCGATAAACTAGAAATTATTATTTTTTTAAATTGAAAGGGCAATGGCAAGCCAGTGATACTTTGCAACTAAACTTTTTGGATGAGTCTGTAAATTCACACAAACACACACACACACACACACACACACACACACACACCAAACTCAACCTGGAAACTTTATTTTATATAATACAAACCTAAAGTTGCAGGCAAATAGTTCTCAAATTGATTAATAATACAATCAACAATGTGGTTTTGGTATTATTGGCACTAATATGATACTTCTACAGAAATGCTATGATTATCTGCATGTTTTTGTGTGTCCAGTCCTAAAGACATTTGGCTCTACAATTATATAAGTCCACTAATAGTGCTGAATGGACATTTGTCATCATTTTGCTTGGTATGTCATGCCTTTGTGTTTCTGTTTAAATCCATCTGCTAAAGTTAATATTAAAACTTCAAATCTCCTTAATTCCTGGGGTGATTATGGTCTCTGGATCTTCACATAACCAATTGTCTGGCACCTGGCCATTGCCTGACATTTAGCAATACAAGTATAAAAATATCTTGGTTCCAGTTAGAACACCATAGTGAAAAACCAAATAAAATATAAATAGCTGTCAAGGTCATTGTTTTGAATATTAACACTATCTAGATTTCTATTTCTATTTCTATTTATTAAATTTATAGTCCGCCCAATCCCGGAGGACTCCGGGTGGCTTACAGAAATAAAAATAATAGAGAAAAGATTAAAAGCAAATAAAACACAGCAGATTAAAAGAAACACAATATGCACCCAATCTAAGTGGGGCTGGACCTCAGTCAAGAGGTCAACAGCCCCAGGCCTGCCGGAATAGCCAGGTTTTGATAAATACAGTGATAAAGTATTGAACAGTATAATACTTGGAGAGCATTGGATTCAAACATCTAAAGAAATATAATAGATAAATCATAACCAGACTAGAAAGTAAATCATTCAAGTTTTAGAATAACAAAATAACTTTATTGTTATTTTGAATGTGTACTAATCAGCATATATTAAAATGAAATTTTTGTTGCATACAGTTCTCAAAGGGTCATCACCTCCAATATAAACTACATAAACATGGCTAAATAAATACAAAAGTATGCATATACCACATATTTTATATGACACAGAGAAACAACACAATCTAGTTTGGATGTATACATGAACATGGCAAGAAAAATAAATCTTGCGAGTTTACCAAACAGATGGCATAGGGAACAAAGCTGTTACAGAATCTGGTAGTCCTGTTAGAAATACTTTGAAACCTTCTCCCAGAGAGGAGCAACAGAAACAGACCGTAAAGTGGGCGTGTGGGGTCTCTAACAATGCTTTGAGCTCTAAGCACATAATGCTTATAAGAAGTATCCTGAATGGCAGGAAGTGAGCTTCCTATGATCTTCTCGGCTGTCCTCACCACTCTCTGTATGGACTTTCTATCTGAGGCACTGCTGCCACCAAACCAAACAGTGATGCAGTTTGTTCTCAATTGTGCCTCTGTAAAAAGTGGCCAGGACAGAAGGAGAAAGATGTGCTCTCCTCATCTGATGCAGGAAATGCAGAAGCTGGTTTGCACGCTTCACTAAGGATGACATGTGGGGAGACAAGTTCAGATTGTTAGTTATCTGTGTCCCCCAGATACTTAATACTTTTGACCACCTTTACACGTTTGAATGAGCTCTTCAGTTTATAAATATCAGTTTGCTGCATGAGGTGGATTTGGCAGAGTTCTCATAACTACAAAGAACTCTGGACTTACAAAAAGTCTACTTTGCATCAGGGGAACACTAATACTTTATGCCTGATAAAATAATATATGTTAAGATTGGAAATTCCAAGAGATTAAAAGTGCCAGTTCTCTTATGGAAGGAAAGGCTCCATCAGATGACAGACCAATCAAACAGACAGGTGCTGTTTTGATAGAAGGAGAACGAGAGAGATAACTTGTAGAGATGACTTTATTCTACCTTATCTTTTACTAGATATTTACTGAGCCATTTTGGGAAGAAAAAAAATGCCTGTTTGGCTTTTGATCAGATAAAAGTAATCCTTGACTTACAGCAGTTCATTTAATGACCATTTTAAAACGGCATTGAAAAAGTGACTTATGACCATTTTTCAGAGTTACAAATTTTGCAGCATCCCCATAGCCATGTGATCAAAATTTAGATGCTTGGCAACTGGTTCATGCTTATGACCATTACTGTGTCCCCTAAAGTACAGGTGGTATTCAGCAGGTTCTGACCAGTTCTGGAGAACCGGTAGCGGAAATTTTGAGTAATTCGGGGAACTGGTAAATACCACCTCTGACTGGCCCCACCCCCCTATTCTCTACCTCCTGAGTCCCAACTGATTGGGAGGAAATGGAGATTTTGCAGTAACCTTCCCCTGCCATGCCCATCAAACCACTCCCACCAAGCCATGCCACTCCCACCAAAACAGGCCCACAGAACCAGTAATAAAAAAATTTGAATCCCACCACTGCCCTAAGGTCATGTGATCACCTTTTCTGACCTTCTGACAAAGCAAAGTCAATGGGGAAACCAGATTCCCTTAACAACTGGGTGAGTAACTTATCAACTGTATTGATTCACTTAACAATGGTGGCAAGGAAGTTGTAAAATGGGGCAAAATTCACTTAACAAATGTCTCACTTAACAACCTATTTTGGGCTTCATCGAGGTCGTAATTCGAAATATATGTTCAGTATTAGAACAAGCTTGCTCATCCTTGCACTCAAGAACCCATCTCTTAGTCCTCCTTCCTTGGGTTGCAAGTATAATGCATATAGGGCCAATGTGTCCAGTGGTGAGATTCCAAATCTTTTTCTACTGGTTCTATGAGAGAGGGCTTCTCACATGCATGTTCTCACTTTGCGCAAGCGCGCAGCACTCAAACACCACCCTTGGTGTCAGCGCTGTTGAGCTGAGCTGTTTGGTAGCTCAGCTGAGGTGCGGCAATTCGCTCTGCTGCGCAAATCAACTGAGCTAAAAAACAAAGGAATGTAGGACAGGAAATGATGGGGGCGGGAGGGCAGGTTCTCTGAATTACTCAAAATTTCTGCTACCGGTTCGCCCGAACCAGTCCGAACTGGCTGAATACCATCTCTAAATGTGTCCATAAATATCTTGCAACCTTCAACCATACCTAAGCTTTATGTTAGATTCTTTTAATTGTCCATCCCTGGGGTAGAGAATAAGGTGATATAAATCTTACCTTTCCTATTTCACTTTTCAGCTTGTATTGATTCAGCTGCACACAATCCTGTGGAGTTAAAAAAAAAAGATAAAACAAGTTAGCACAGGAGAGGGAAACAAAAAATAGAAAGTCTGAGATGTAGCTTCACTTCTCTCTAAGCTCCTCAAAATAATGAGAAGTGACAAATATATTTTGGGACCTCACTCACTAGGGAAGATAAGATATAAATATTTTTTTAAGCAGCAATGCTTCCAACCGGCTTCTATTAAAAAAATTATAGCAACAGACAGAAGAGACAGCATTGCATGAAAGAAGTTGCCCAAGTGTGTTCCCAAAGGAGAATAAAGTATCAAAAATCCTCCATTATTTTGTGTTTCATTTCAGCTTTTGGGGGCTTTAGGACCTAGGCAACTTTGATTTAGTTCAAAATCAAAAGCCAGATTGAGTTTTATTACTGGACAGGAGGTTATCTAAGAAATCTCAAGGCCGTTGACTAGACTGGGAAATTGAAAACACCATTCCGGAAGGTGACTATGTCTGTGTCAGGACTGCCATGCTGTTACGCCTGCAATGCTTTGCTAGATGCCAATCTGCCATATTGCAACAATAGCAATAGCAATAGCAGTTAGACTTATATACCGCTTCGCAGGGCTTTCAGCCCTCTCTAAGCGGTTTACAGAGTCAGCATATCGCCCCCACAGTCTGGGTCCTCATTTCACCCACCTCGGAAGGATGGAAGGCTGAGTCAACCTTGAGCCGGTGAGATTAGAACCGCTGAACTGCAGATAACAGTCAGCTGAAGTGGCCTGCAGTACTGCACCCTAACCACTGCGCCACCTCAGCTCAACAAGCAGGAAAGGACTGCAGGGAGGGCAGAAGAGGGGGGGAGGCAGAAGAGGGGGAAACGAAACTACTCTTCGTGCCATCCTATGAGAGCCAAGGTGACTTGATGGAATGCAGCACCATTCAGCCCATGCAGCCAGAGACTGTTACCAAAACAATTTATTTGAATACCATTAGACACTAATTGATAACCATAGGGGTGGTGGTGGAGGTAGGAAGCCAGGGGAAAAGTTAACCAGATGCTTTGGGCGTGAAATTCCAGATCCGGCTTTGCTACACTGCGGCCACTTGGCTTTAGTAAAGTGTATTTTCACTAGCTATGAGGTTGAGAGTCTTTCTTTCCTAATTGACCTGTTGGAAGAAATCTCCATCTGGGTTCAGTTCCAAGTGGGGAGAAAGACACTGGAAACAATGGTGGCTGTTTGGAAAGATGGTTTTAATGGTGGACAGGATCACATGCCTTGAGGTATTTTTACCCCAGCACATGAGATGACACACCAATGTCTGAAATACCTTGCATATGGAAGGAACCGAAAAGTAAGATTAATAACCCACAGTTTTGGGATTAATCTTAACAATGCTACTAATCAAACTATTATTCAAGGGGAAGGGGATTTGAAGCATCAATTGAAAAACAGTGGCAAAGGAAGGGAAGGGGAAACCTTTTAGCCTTTTTACAGTAGACAAAAACCTCAAATTTCATAGAAAAACAGCAAAAGATAAATGAACTTGGTTAAGGCAAGATCTCAATTTCTTAAGTTACAAGGGGGCTATTCCACATATACATTAAGAAAAAAAACACCTCAGATACGAGACTGTGAGAGTCTCTCCTCATTGGAATAATCTAATTTTGGAGATACTGGAGTTATATTGTATTATACACTAGCTGATAACCTGGCATTGTCCAGGTGTTTATTTATAGGGGAAAATTTCCAGACCAAACATAATTTATAATGTTGGATTTTCCCCCTTATCAGAGGGAGCACCCTTGTGGAGTACTATGATGCCATTCCCATGGCAACTCCACTGTACAGTAGAAACCATTTAAGGCACAACAGACTGTATCTTAACAGCACACACATCCTGAGGGGTGTTAGGGGTGTCTTACTCCCACAGTATTTTTTTCCAGAGAGTAAATCATCTGTGTTCCAGAGTTATGCTGGAAAACACACACACACAAGCACACACATTTATATATAAGTGCCACAATGGCACTGTAGCATTGCTCAGAATTTTAGATTCATACACCTATAGGATCAAGAAAGCTAGAATAGGTGATCTCCAAAGGCCCTTCAACTCCATGGTTTTGTTTACCTTTGAGTCTATATGCTGATAGCACTAAATCTTCTGCAGTGAACATGAAATAGGAGATGATTATAATTTTGTGAAACGTGAATGACACAAGAAGGAACAATGGGTTCCTTTGAAATACGGAAACCGAATTCTCGGGAAATAATCATCATCCTTCCTGCTCTCCTCCCCACCCCATAAATAGCTACTCGTAAACATTAAGAAGAAACCTTTTCATGCATTGTTTCTCAACCTCAGCAACTTCAAGATGTGTGCATTTTGACTTCCAGAATTCCCCAATCAGCTATGAATTCTGGAAGTTGAAGTCCACATACCTTAAAGTTGTTGAGATTGAGAAACAGGGTTTTAACATTTTCCTATTTCTATTGAAGAGAAAAGGAATTCTTTGGCTACATTTTGCTCCTTTCTAGGAGTGCTGTTGAAGTTCTCTCTGCATGGAACTGAGCACCCGTGTCCTATTTTACAGAGGTACGTGAAGTCTGCAGTAGGGCAAAAATATTAAATATGACAGCATTCCATAAACAGCATTTCCACGGTTTTCTGCTGCTTTAGGCAAATGACAATATCATCAGGTATCAAATAATACAATTTGCGTTATGATGACTCATAATGGACAATACAGAAGTAAAGAAAATTTTAGTAGCTTGTTATGACTGTATTGAGCAAGCTGATCACAGCCGCAATTAACATTGCAGCCACCAACTTACAACTCTTCGCTCATTGGAAGTTAGGAGGGAGCACTCAAAAAGTATTTACAACCTGCTTCTGAAGTTATGCAGGCACCTCCTCCCATTGTCATATGCCTGCACTTTGGGTGCTTGGCAATCAGCCCCCATTTACAGCCATTTTAGAATAGAATAAAATAACAGAATTTGAAGGGACCTTAGAGGTATTCTAGTCCAACCCCCTGCTTAGGCAGAAAACCCTACACTACTTCAGACAAATGGATATCCAACATCATCTTAAAAATGTCCAGTGTTGTTGGAACATTCACAACTTCTGGAGCCAAGTTGTTCCACCGATTAATTGTTCTAACTGTCAGGAAATGTCTCCTCAGTTCTAGATTGCTTCTCTCCTTGATTAGTTTCCACCCATTCCTTCTTGTCCTACTCTCATGTGCTTTGGATAATAGTTTGACTTCCTCTTCTTTGTGGCAGCCCCTGTGATATTAGAACACTGCTATCATGTCACCCTACTCCTTATTCTCATTAAACTAGACATACTCACAGTCCCACAGAAATGTCCCACAGTCACGTGGCCACAATTTCCGATGTTTTTGCTGAAAACCTGCAATTACTTCTGGTTTTTAGGAAATACGGCTCATAGCTCACAGGTTTAACAACTGCTGTGTTTGCTTAATAACTGCGGCAAAAAAGATCACGGAATGGCTCTGTCGTGGGTTTTTTTTTTGGAAAATTTTTATTGTTTTAATTAAACCAAAACACACAGAAAAAAAGAATCATCCTTTGTTACATCTTGTAGAAAGCGTGTCGATTGGTTACAAATACATTTTGTCCATTTTTTCCACAATCATTACATATACTTCATTCAAATTGAACTGTACATTTTAAATCAAAAATTTGTATGTATTTTACTATTACTGTACCACAATTCTCATTTAATTACAATTATTTAAATGTGCTTTTATCTGAAATCATTTGTATTTAAAGACACAACCACCTACTGGCATTCATTCGCAATTTCAATAAACCTCCAATAACATTACACCTTTATAACATTCTGAAACAAAATCAGTTAATAAGATATCTAAGCATTCCCCCGCCCTTTTTCCCCCCAACTCACAATTTAAAGCTTATATCCAATTTGCTTTTACTAATACAACACACACACACACACACACAC